CAGCGGCGGCGGCGGCGGCGGCGGCGGCCTTGCGCTGGCTGGCAGGCATCTGCTGGCTTTTGGAAGCGGGGTCATGATTGCCAAACGAGTGGTGGAAGTGGTGGCGCGTGACGTGGGGGCCTGAGCTCAGACTAGCGGCGAGGACCATGGGGTCGATGGGAGGGCGCCGGAGAGCGTTGAGTGTCGAGAGCGGCCTGGACGCCGAGGCGGAGGGAGCGAATTGGGCGTGGTGCGGGAAGGAGGAGGGCATGGCGGTGAGGGCGTCCAGCAGCTCGAGATCGCCCTGGGTGACGGAGGAGTGAGCGTTTGCGGCCGACATGATGTCTGGACGTGATGCAGTGGCCACTGCGTGCATTCCGATGCCAAGCTGGGGATGGTGCGACACGCAGCCCTGGTGGTTGATATGCGGGTGTTGATATGCGGGTGCGAGGGAGGATTGATGGGGATGGGGATAGGGATTGGCAGTCGGATATTGGGCGGGGCTAAGTACCGGAGTGGAAGCAAGCCGAACTTCTCCACAGCGGTGCACCGAGCCGGTCTCTCTCTCTCTCACACACACACACACTCACTCACCGCCGCTCTCACACGATGCTCTCTCAAATCTGATTCGCCAGGCCGGCCTTTTTGACTCACCTCGACTCGCGCCTCGGATTGGATTTTGGGTGCGTGGCCCGCGGAGCTTGCAATCCAGCATTCAACACTTGTCTGCACTGGCTCCCAATCTGGTCACGCATGCCACGGCGACCGACGACGATGGTAAGAGCCGTGGACGGCGCGTCTGCAGCCTTACGTGACCATCATACGGGAAGGAAGCGCGAGTACAGCGGCCGCGGCTATGCTCCGATGTGAGCGCTTCTTTGCTGCTCCGGACAGCACCCGCGAGGTCCTGAGAGACGCCAACATTGTCAGACCTCTAAAGCACACAATTGTAAATTTGCCCATGGCTATCGCAAGCGCTTCCGCGCGATACGGCGGGGCAGTGACGATGGACGTCTCACAAAATGACGGCACGCTTTTCGAGCTCAAGGTTCGATCGTCCGATCAGCAGGCGGCAGCCAAGCGCTCGCTTTGTCCGCAAAAAGCAATAATATTCAGGAAAATGTCAGAGCGGCATCTGCACTGCACTGCACTGCGCTGGTCTAGTCCTGGGCTGGTCCTGGCGGATGGACGTGCGTGAGTGCAGTGCGGGTGTTGCACGCACCACCGCCGTCTGCTGCTCAGCTTTTCGTAGGTGTTGGTCTCGAGGTTTTTTTTCGCAATTTCCTCCAGATTGACACACACCCACAGCCGCCCAGGCAAAGAGCGCGCCAAAGACCCAGAGCCAGTCAGCCAATCTGTGAGTTGCTCTCCGCAGAGTGTGCTGTGCTGTGCTGTGCTGTGCTGCTCTTCTCGTCGGCCCTTTTCGTGTCGCACACTCTCCACATCCTATCTCTCCTTTTCCATCACCACTTGCCCTCCATCGCACCCTCATCGCCTTGTCACCCCTTCTCTCCGGCTCGCAGACATACGCAAATCGCTCCCACCGCAACACCTCCAAACACCGCCCGTCTCCATCTCTCACAATGTCCGGCCTTCGCGATATGTCGCGTCGACAAGACAACTACAAGGCAAAGGGCGTCTTCAAGCAGGATGAGCTGCGTCGCAGGCGTGAAGAGGCCCAGGTCGAGATTCGTCGCCAGAAGCGCGAAGAGTCCATGGCAAAGCGCAGGAACCTCAACATCGGCGACGACACCGACGGCGCCGACTCGGACGACGACGACGCCCAGTCCGCCGCCATCGACGCACAGCTCGCCGACGAGCTGCCCAGGATGATCGACGACGCCATGAGCGACAACCTCGACCGTCAGCTCGACGCAACCACCAAGTTCCGCAAGCTCCTCTCCAAGGAGAAGAACCCGCCCATCGAGCGCGTCATCGCCGCCGGCGTCGTCCCCCGCTTCGTCGAGTTCCTCCGCAGCCCGCACTCCATGATCCAGTTCGAGGCCGCCTGGGCGCTCACCAACATCGCCTCCGGCACCTCCGACCACACCCAGGTCGTCATCACCGAGGGCGCCGTCCCCGTCTTCATCGAGCTCCTCTCCTCCCCCGTGCTCGACGTCCGCGAGCAGGCCGTCTGGGCGCTCGGCAACATCGCAGGCGACAGCCCCAAGTGCCGCGACTACGTCCTCCAGGCAGGCGCCATGCGTCCCCTCATCGCACTCCTCTCCGAAAACCACAAGCAGAGCATGCTCCGCAACGCCACCTGGACCCTCAGCAACTTCTGCCGCGGCAAGAACCCGCAGCCCGACTGGGCCATGGTCTCGCCCGCCCTCAGCGTCCTCACCAAGCTCATCTACTCGATGGACGACGAGGTGCTCATCGACGCCTGCTGGGCCATCTCCTACCTCTCCGACGGCGCCAACGAAAAGATCCAGGGCGTCATCGAGTCGGGCGTCTGCCGTCGCCTCGTAGACCTCCTCACCCACCCCTCCACCGCCGTACAGACCCCCGCCCTCCGCTCCGTCGGCAACATCGTCACCGGCGACGACTACCAGACCCAGGTGGTCATCTCGTCCGGCGCCCTGCCCCCCTTGCTCTCGCTCCTCTCGTCCCCCAAGGAGGGCATCCGCAAGGAGGCCTGCTGGACCATCTCCAACGTCACCGCCGGCTCCTCCCAGCAGATCCAGGCCGTCATCGACGCCAACATCATCCCGCCCCTCATCGACATCCTCCAGCACGCCGACTTCAAGACCAAGAAGGAGGCCTGCTGGGCCATCAGCAACGCCACCAGCGGCGGCCTCTCGGAGCCCCAGCAGATCCGCTACCTCGTCTCGCAGGGATGCATCAAGCCGCTCTGCGACCTGCTCACCAGCATGGACAACAAGATCATCCAGGTCGCGCTCGACGGCCTCGAGAACATCCTCAAGGTCGGCGAGATGGACCGCGAGGCGGCCGGAGGCGATGGCCCCAACGCCTACGCGCTCCACATCGAGGAGTGCGGCGGCATGGTGTCAATCCACAACCTCCAGCACCATGAGAACCTCGACATCTACAAAAAGTGCTTCTACATCATGGACAAGTACTTCCCCGACGACGAGGCGGCCGACACGGGTCTGGGCGCTCCGCAGGTCGACGAGTCCGGTGCATTTGCCTTCCAGTCCGACCTCAACGCCCCGCAGGGCGGATTCAACTTTGCGCCGGCACAGAACGGCATGCAGCAGTAGGCGCCTCGTGCGGCGTTCGTGTTTTGATACCTGATGGGCGCGCGCTTTTCGCACGCCCATCACATCTCCAAAAAGGTAAGTTTGGGTCGCACACAGAGGTGCAGCGTGCAGGTTGATGCTCGCCCCTCCCCGCGCCGTGGGCGTGTGTGTCGATGTCTTGTAATGTCCGAAGGTTTCGACCTTGCGTTTTATACACCCTGTAACAGGCCAAAGTCGTGTGTGGTGGTAACCACGGCTTTGTGTCGCTTCCCCGCCTCTCCCCCTCAATCCATGCATGTCATTGTGTTTTGTATCCCCTCATCCTCCCCTTCCCCCACACATCCCTGCAAAGTCCCAAGTTTTCTGATCACCTTGTCCGGTCCGGCCGTATGCGAGAGAGTAAGGAGAGGGAGGGAGGTGTGTGGATCGGAAATCGGAATCCCAAAACCTCCACAAAAGAAATCCCGTGTAAGCTGGAGAGGGTGGGAACAAGTGTTGCTTCGACCACCATCACTTGAACTTTTACCGACATTGATTGTCGGGCGCTGGGCGAACATGGTTGGAGTGGGGTCTCGATTTGTATCGGAGGGTTCCACCTCTTCATCCGCCGCTGGTGGCAATGAGGAGTACGATCCACGGAGCTTGTTCGAGAAGCTTCAGTCGCAGAAGGAGGCCAAAGATGCCAAGTACGACGAGATGTACAAGCTCTCCAACCAGTTCCGCGGCATTGACGAGGGCGAGTCCGACTTTCTAGCGCACATCAAGCACGAAAAGGCGCAGGAGGAGAGGGAGAAGCGACTGAGAGAGACGCAGGAGCTCGAAGCTTTTAGGAACGCTCAGGCGAAACCTCCTCTTCCACCACCCGTAGGCATTGCAGACGATAAGCAGAAGAAGACTCCAGAGGCGGTAAAGGACGACAAGGTGCCGGTCAAGAAGAAGAGGAAAAACGTCTCGGCCGCGGTATTGGGTATCAAGAGGAAGAAATCCGCCCAGGTAGCGGCGACAGGCCCGGTGAAGGCAGACCAACCCGCCGCCGGCGATGCCAAGAAGACGTGATCCCAAGCTACCCACCCACTCAAACGATACCCCCGCCCAGTTCAAGCAATCCAGTGTTTGAAACTACAAAGCGAGTGAACCGATCGCAAGTGAGCACTCGGAGGCCAGAGACAAGGGCATACAAATCTCAATCAAGAAGAAGGGGAAAGAAGACTAAGCTGCCTCTCTAGTAAGTCGGGCCACCAGAAAGCGGAGAGGCGAAGGCTTGCTTGTCTTGATCTGGGTCAGGAGACTTGCGCGATGGGACGCCAACGTCTGGCCCCCGGCTGCCAGCAACAGCTGGTAAGCCTGAAGGCCATGAGGGCATCAAGGCGAAGAAACCCACCACCCAATCTGCGGCAACACGCCCCACGAGGCAAACTCGACGCGGACGATGCGAAGAAGACGTGATCTCGCACCCTTTCCCTCAAAACCATTCCCCCGGACTTGTTCGATCATGCCGCTCTCACCTTTACCCAGCGCTGCGAAGAACACCGCACCGTGCTCGAGCAACTCTGCACCAAGACGGCAAGCTGTCTTGGATCAAGGACGAGCACACCCAAGCGCTCGACCAGCTCAAGCCGACCCCACGACAAGGCCCTGGGCGAGCTCACTGGCGCTCGCCGGAAAGCCCTGGCCAACAAAGATCAAAGTCGCTCAGCTGCAATGCACGCAGCCCTGGCCGAGTGCAGCACCACACAGCAGCACCTCGCACAAGCAATGCAGTCGCTCAAAGCATCAACTGAGTGGAAGCAATTGCGCATTCAATATCGCAAGTGAGCAACACGAGCGCAGCGACAAAGACACGTTGCGATGGCCAAAGTGGAGCATTTAGCCTCCGTGGAGTTCCAAGGCGGGGCACCG